GCAAGCTTCCCAGGAGAGGTGCAAGAGGATCCTCCATAGCCGTGTCCCATGCTGTCTCCCCTGGCTGCGTGCACCCGCTGGAGGCATCCTGACCTGAGCGGTGTTTTACTGACTCCCCTGCCACTATACCACTCCCCTTCCCCCGTCTTGCCTAGTTTAAAGCCCTCCTTACCAGGCTGGCCAACCTGTTGACAAAGACGCGTGTGCCCCGCTTGGTAAGGTGGATGCCATCTCTCCCCATCAGCTGTTGGTCTTCAAACAGGGTCCCATGGTCATAGAAACCAAAGCCCTGCTGCCAACACCAGTGGCGCAGCCAGTTGTTAATTTGGAAAACTCGTCTACTCCTCCTCCCGTCCTTTCCCCTCACAGGCAAGATTGAGGAGAAAATGACCTGGGCTCCCAGACCCTTAACCACCATTCCCAGAGCTCTGAAGTCCCGTTTGATGGTTTCCAATTTGCCTTTCGTGCCTTTAGTGCCCACATGGAAGAGCAGCAGAGGGTAGTAGTCTGATGCATGGACAAGTCTCAGCTTCTATAGCCTTCGATGTAGGTCTGCGTATCTTAGGTTGTTATGTAAGTCATCCACAGAGCCCAGGACTATGGGTAGCATGCAATTAAATGGAAAACTCCCTTATTCCCATGCTAAAAAATATTTACTATTAGGACGTTGACCAGTTCATTACATATCATAGGGAGATCTCTAGAAACAAACAGATAACGTAAGAAGTTGGAGTGTATTGACTTACCTCCGTAGCTTAATTATAACCTTCTGAGGCAATCCAGAGGCCATGATTTGAAGTGCAGCCATGACCCTGGAAGCACTGAGGAAGCATGGCTCCTTTACATCATGGTCATGATGTCATCACTTAGCAAAACAACAGGTTTGCAATCAAGCCAGGACTGAGTGAGTGTATATCCATGTGTTCAAATTTGTTCTGACATGCTGCAGAAGCTACCTCTGTAATCTCTTTTTCTTCCCATCTCCTCCTATTCTCCAGGCTCCTCTATCTTTCTCACTTTTTAAATCACAGAATCTACACATCTTCTTCTCCACAGTCTCTTTACTCCCTTTGCTGCCAATAAATATCCTCTCCCATGCCCTGTCCTATCTTACATCCTTTGCCCCACTTACTTACTACCCACACATTCCTAATATTCAAGTTTTAGAAGAATAATTGTTTCAGTAACACAGTCACTTTTCCTTGACACGTTAACCTAATGACTTATTTATATAATAAATACAATATATATAATAAATGTATATTTTAGATAATTTACATACAATATATTATGTATATTATATATGTGCATTATATATATTATATATTTTTAATATATAAAATTTATATAATGAATAAGTCATTTGTCCTTACATGCAAGTTACTTTAGTAAATGGTTTGGTGAAGTTTCTGGTCAAATAAAATACAACCTATTTTTTCTGAAAGTAAATGAGGAAATTACAGTAATCTTTAATTCATTGCAATAGCGATTTCCTGATTTCATTTAGCAATAATACATGAAGTTTAAGGAGGGAGTAGAAGTCTTCCGACCCGTCAAACGAGTGACACAACTGTTTAGCTCCTTTGGCACCTGGTTCAACT